AGCGGTTCCTCAGTGGGACAGGCTTCCTCGGGAGGTGGTGGGCTCTCCTTGGGAGGTTAGATAGCTCCATCTGACAGCAATGCGGATTCTGTGACCTTAGGCAGATCATGAGAAGGGAGGGCAGGAAGGGTTGCCTCAGTGCCTAGCTCTCGCAGCCCTTTCTCACATGCCCAGGGAAATGCTGGTGGCCACTTTGGGGTCAGGAAGCAGTTTTTCTCCAGGCCAGTTTGGCTGGAGATCCTGGAGGTTTTTTTGTCATCTTCTGGGTGTGGAACAGCGGTCACTGGGGGTGTGGAGGTGTCAGCTATGCTGCCATGGGGGTTGGGGAGTTCATTCTGTGTCTTGGTAATTGCCGTTGCATTCCTATCCCTGCTGTTCTGCCTGTGCCGCAATGCTTATCTCTACAGATGTGCAGGAGGAGGTTGTGTTGTCTGGAAGTCTCCTATGTACCGTGAGAGACTCCTGGTTCCCAGCTTTCGCTACCTAACGGTTTCCTAGCTGGTCCCGCGCGCGGGAGGGTAGCTAATTGGCCCATGCCATGGGGGGGAGGGGTGCATACGAATGCCCTATATCCTATTAGCCTCTAGTGGCTCTGGCCATTCTCAACAGTGCCTGTGTTACTGCATCTATAGCTTTGCAATAAAAGTATAACCGTTCCTGAATGCGTGTACTTCGTTGTAAGCTGTGGGTTCTGACAGGAGGGGGTGGGAAGTGTTTGTGGATTTCCTGCACTGTGCAGGGGGGTCCCTTCCAACTCTACGATTCTAAATCTGTCCACTGGTTTAAGAGGCTGGTGGGCTAGTTCTGCCAGCCTGGATGGCCCCTTTCATTGCCCACAGATACTCCAAATAGACTCCCACCCCCGTTGCCCTTTCTGGTGGACACTGTGGTCCTCCAACCAGTTCCCTATCCCCCTAACTACCGTAGAGTCCACAGTCCTCCAGTTTACCCATCAGACCATCATGGGGAACCCTGTCAAAAGCTTCACTGAAATCCAGCAGAAATCCTGAAATCACTGAAATCCCTCGATCCCCGTAAGCTCGTCACTCAATCAAAGAAGGAAATGGGGTTGGTCTGGCAGGACCGGTTGGGGACAAATCCGTGCTGACTTCTCTGGATCACCCAGTTGTCCTTTAGATGCTCACAGATTGACCCCTTTAAAATCTGCTCCAGTATCTTCCTTGGGGCAGAGGTCAGAGTGACTGGCCTGTAGTTTCCTGCGTCATCCTCCCTCCCCTTTAAAAAAAAAAATTGGGATCCCATCTGCCCTCCTCCAGCCTTGTGGCACCGTCCCCTGTCCTCCAAGAGGTCCTGGAGATGACGGGCAAAGGCTCTGCCAGCTCTCTAGAAAGTTCTCTGGGCGCTCTCGGGTGCGCACCGCCTTCCCTTGTCTGCCCATGGCCCCATTGCCTGAATTTAAGTATCCACTGATTTGACTGTGTTGAGACTCAGATCTCTTGAGGGCAGTGGTGATGATCAGGACGCTCTTGCATCCCTCTGGTTGGCGTTCCAGAGTGCCGATTCGTGTCCTGGGATTTGTAAGCGACTTGGTGCTCCTGTGGGCAGAACAATGATGAAGAGAGCGCAGGAATATGATGAGCCACCCCCACCCCCCCACCCACCCCCCACCAGCGGTCCTGACGAAAGGTCCCTTGGCGAGAGCCACCCTTGAGGAGGGAGGTCTGGCCGACTCTCCCCCGCCCCCGTTCACACCCCGGTGCACACCTTCTGCTTCCCCCCCCCCCAGGAGCTGGTCTTCTACCCCAAGGACACCATCTCTGTGGGCCTCTTCGAGGCGCTGGGCAAGGTGGTGTCCAAGAACGACTTCCGCGTGGCCTCCGTCAAGAGTGCCAGCCAAGCGGCCGCAGCCCTCTGGCAGTGGATCTGTGCCATCTACTTCTACCACCGGGCGCTGCGCAGCTGGCAGCCGTCCATGGAGAGGCTGGAGCGCTGCGATGCGCAGATCAACTCGGAAAAGATGAACTTGGGCCACAGCCGCCTGCGCTCGGAGCAGCTGAGGGACGCCACCCGGGCCCGGATCAAGGAGCTGAAGGAGACCCAGCAGAACCAGCAGAAGCTGCTGCACCAGCTGACCCAGTCTCTGCAAGCCCGGGAGGAGGCCAGCACTGTGGAGAACTCTGTGGCCGAGCACATGGCCAACTGGACCGTGGCCACTCAGGTAGTGGCCGGGAGGGGGGGCTCCCTGCTCCCGCCTTCCCTGGCCACCCTGCTCTGACCGACCACTCCTCCCTCCCTCCCTCCCTCTCTCCCCCAGGTCCTAGAGAACCAGCACAGCACGGTGGCCGGGGATGCCTTGCTCTGCGCTGCTGCCCTCGTCTACCTGGGGCCGTTCCCCCCGGCGCGGCGAGAGGAGCTGCTCCGGAAGTGGCAGGCTGTGTGTGGCGGGGCCCAGGTCTCCCCGGGGCCCGACGACGTCAGCCAGCTGCTGCAGAAGGAGTTGTCCTGCCCTGGCTCAGCCTCCTGCGGCCCGCCCCTGCTGCCCGTGCAGCAGCCCTTCAGCCCAGCCACCTTGCTGAGCACGGCGAGACAGCAGCGCGCCTGGGACCGGACCCACAAGCCCAAGGACCCCGAGAGCCGCCTGACCGCCATGCTCCTGCACTCCGAGGCCCACCGGCAGGCTCACCGGTGGCCTCTGCTGGTGGACCCCGACAAGCAGGCCACCGTCTGGCTGCTGGTGGCTGCCACCCTGGAGGACGGTAGGCGCGGGGGCCGGCCGCGGGTGCTGGGGCCAGACCTGCCCGCCGTGCTCTGCTTGAGCCAGGGGCTCACCAGCCTGTCTTCTTCTTCCAGAGGAATCCCAGGCCTTGATCAACGCTGAGCTGGTGCCGGAGATGGTGGAGCTGGGGGACTACGAAGCAATGCCCGAAGACAACTTGGAGGTGTTGTCGCTGACGGACCCCGACCTGGAGCAGAATCTCCTGACAGCAGCCAGCGTGGGTGGGTGAGCCCCCCCGGGGGGCGGGGGTGAGGCAAGGAGCAGCCTGCCGTCCTTTCAGGGTCCCCTGGGGGGGGGGCGAACTGGGCTGGGCAGCTGCAAGCGGCTTGTGCCTCTCCCTGCCCCACACAGGCACCCCTGTGCTGCTGACGGACTTCGAGAAGAACATCCCCTGGTGCCCGGCACTCCAGCAGCTGATGCAGAAGGAGACGCTGCTGCCTCCGGGAGCCAAGACGCCTCCCCCTGAGCAGATGTCGGTCTCGCCCTCCTTCCAGCTCTACCTGTGCACCAGACTGCCTCTGGAGGCCTTGGCGACCGGTAAGAGTGCAAGCAGCAAAACAGACGTTAGGCACTCGCCTTGAGCTGCACCGCAAGGGAATAAACGCCCCAGGGGTACCTCACCAGTGATGGCAAACATGAGATCTGTTCGTTCATTCAAGACACACCGCTTATGTCCCACAGACAGAGGAACAAAAAGAACTTGCATTTATTTATCATACTTATTGATTGATTAAACTTATATCCTGCTCCCTCTCCCCTGAATGGGACTCGATCCAAACAATCTAAATAACCTCATCCAAAAATGCTTTGCATTTCTAAATGTACTTAAATTTATCGATTCATCTGTGTTATTTTAGTCCACCTTTCTCACTGTGACTGGAAGTAGATGACGTGCTGTAAATCAGTATGATCTATAGGATGAGGGCCCGTATAATAAACACTGTAGTAGGACGAAGATTGCAGAAATCTGGAACAAGGCATAAGTATTAAACATGGCATGTTAGCGGTGCAGGAAATGGTACTATGTGAGTAGGAATACAATGCGGTGAGGACAAGATAAAAACATACAGCAGCAGACCATACGTATTAGTGGTATCGTCCGCAGTCTAGTCCCCTCTACTGAAGTGTCTTCCGGAATCACTCTGATCTTCCTCGTGGTCTCTGTGCAGTCCCACACATGGGTTCTGCACCTGCGCTCAAACCCCACCTCGGAGAACCTCAAGAGCTAGCCTCTGAATTTTAGTGCTCTTCCTTCTCGCGCTCAGACATCCACTGCGCATGTCTGGAGCGGGGAAGGAAACACCCTCCCACTCAGTTTCCTCTCGACCGCCACGCTGGTCAGACCTACCTCGCTGTGTTCCCTCTACTGAGCTGCCCCATAGGCCTGTTTCCTCCGTCTCCTTCATCATTTTCACCGTCTTCATCTCCTTTGTCTCTGTTTCTGCAAAAAAAAATAATTCTTTGTGAGTTTTTACTGGCTGTCGTAGTCCCCCCCCTCCCCTTGGCCCTTGTCTCTGGCACGTGGAAGGGAAGACTCGCTTTAAATGCTGTTGAAATTGTGAGGGGAAGATCCCTGCCACTGACGGACACACTCTGTGTCTTTCTTGTTTGGGCGAGACTCATAAATCAGACTCCTGTGCCGACTGCAGCAACTTTACAAAGCAGGCAGGAAAGAACCGAGCTGGGAGACTGAAGAGCCACCTCTTAGAGGCCTCCCTGCGCCCGGTGATGTCTCGGTCCTCGAGCTCCAGAGCCTCGCTGCCGCCCCCAACTTCGAGGGGAGATTCGGCTAAGTCGGCAGCATCTTCGGCCTCAGGGCCCCCGAAGCATAAGCCCGACAAACGGTCCAAGGGGCTCTTGGCTTTGCCTCCGGACGCGCCGAAACTGAAGAAATCGCACAAGTCAAAGGACCAGTCAGTACCGATGCCTGTGGTGGTTTTGAAATCGACCCCAGTCTCCATGCAGCCCTTGGACACGCAAGCCGCCACCCCTGCAGCCACATTGCCATCATCGACTCCTCCGCCGCAGCAGAGCCCCTCTCACACAGGCGGTGCTCGTTCTGTCTTGATCGCCATCCACACGCAGCTGTCTGCCATCGGATTTCCCCGAGTCCGATCCTGTTCGCCAGGACAAACCCTCACAACCCGTTGAGAGGCTGAGGATGTCTCCACGATGCCAACTCTGCCGGAGCCGCTCCCGCTCCCGAAGCTGGCACCACTCCCATGATGCTCCAGTTTCCTGTGCAGCTCCAGCTTCCTACGCGTTGCCCACGATCTCTCTGGGAGCATTACAGATCTCCATCCCACTCATCGTACCAAGCCCGAGATAGCTGCTTGCGTCTTTCCTCGCCGTACCCATCGGAAGAATTCTTTGTACGCCTTCCTCGGGACCAACGGCCCCTAATATTTGGTTTACCGGATGCTCCCATCGTCATAAAGCTGCCTTCGGCTCCAGTGAAAGCTACTGTCGCTGCCCCTCTGGGGCCCCCTACCAACACACCAACGGATCCTGCGATATCGACAACCGGCTGCAGCGACCGATAACCTTGGTCTTCAGACTTCTGCCTTGGAACTGTTGGACATTGGGTTCAAGGGGTTGGATTCGGAGGCAGATGAGTCACTCCACATTTCTCCAGATTCAGACATAGTTCGGCTGGGTTCTCTCTCCCCCTTGGAAGTATCCAAAGCCTACCTTGAACTGGTAACCCGTATGGCCACTGCACTGAACACCCAACTTACCAGTGGCACTCCTACAGTTATGGACCTAATCCCTAAGCTGGTGCAGCCAGATCTTCCACCAGCCTCCTTACTCCCCGTGCTTCCGGGCCACCTGGATGTTCCCAAAAAACTGCTACTTCCCTCGTCAATGAGTTGTCCAGGTTAACAAAGCAACAAATCAACACTGTCCACCATGCAGTATCCTGCTCCGTGAAGGCCATGGCTACCTCAATTGCCCTCAGATGGCACACATGGCTACGCTCTACCAACCTGCAACCTGACATAAAATCAAAGGTGGAAGATCTACCCTTTGATAGAGAAGGCCTGTTCCATGCCTCCACGGACGAGGACTCTAACCAATGTAGATGACAGCCATAAGAGAGCTCACAGTTTGGGGGTATCGCAGTCCTCCCAACTACGGGCCCCCTGATTCAAGACTTGGAAGCCCAGTGGCCCCAAACATTCCAGGTCTCCCCATCAGTCAGACCGCTGGAAGCACAAGGCTCCCTCAGCTAAACAGCCGTACCAATCAGAAGGTCAGGGCTCCCTCCGCCAAGAGAGCCACACCTCCTGCAAAACAGTCTCTTTGACTCCCCCCAAAGCAGCCACTTCAGTCTCCCATCAGTTACCCCGGCTTGGGGAACAAGGCTATGCCATTTCATAGACGCCTGGGAATCCATCACCACAGACGCCTGGGAATCCATCACCACAGACCATTGTTCGTCTAGGATATGCCATTGAGTTCTTTTCAACCCCGCAGGTCTCTCATTTTGTGGCAACTCCTCCCTCCACCTTTCTCCAAGACGAAGTGCAAACTCTTCTGGCCAAAGGAGCTATAGAACCTGTCCCTCCGTCTCAACACCACGAGGGGTTTTACTCCCGATACTTTATTGTTCTGAAATGGGATGGGAGGAAGTGCCCCATTATGGACCTGCAGCAACTCAACTGTTATATCCCACACAAAAAGTTTCGAATGGTCACTCCTCACTTTATCCTTCCCCTAATCCCCATGGGTGCCTGGCTGGCATCCCTCGATCTATAAGACGCCTATTTCCACATCACCACCTACCCTCAACACCAGTGTTTCCTGAGATTCACAGTAGGATCTCACCACTACCAATACTGAGTGCTCCCCTTCAGTCTTGCAACAGCACTGAAAATCTTCATAAAATGTAGGGTGGTGGTTGCTACTTTTCTCAGACAACGTGGAATAACGGTGTTCCCCTACATCGACGACTGGCTGATAGTCTCTCATTCCCAACCTCAGCTCCGTTGAGATGTAGCAACCATGCTCCAGCTCCTGGCATCCTTGGGTCTCTGCGTGAACCTCTCCAAGTCCCACCTGACCCCTATCGAGGATGTACAGTTTATAGAGGCTGGACTCTGCACCCTCCCTCAATGTGCCTTCCTTCCAATGGACAGAGCCTTCACCCTATGCTCTTTGGCACTAATCATACTGTCTTGACCCACACAACCAGCTCGGGTGTTCCAGTGCCTCCTGGGAATGATGGTGGCGACCACCAATGTACTACTATATGCCAGACTTCACATGTGGCCGCTTCAACTGTGGTTTGTTCGCGCCTTCAACCCCCTTCACATGCATCCCGATGCTGCCCCTTACGGTGCCATCCAGTGTCCTACCAACCCTTCAATGGTGGACTGTGGAGGAGAATCTTCTGACTGGAATGCTGTTCCACCTCCCTCCTCCGAATGCTGTCCTGACCACTGATGCCTCATGGTGGGATTGGGGAGCCCACTGCAGGGCGCTAATAGCTTAGGGTCAGTGTTCTGCATCAGAACGCTCCCAACACATCAACTGTCTGGAGCTCCTGGCAGTACATCGAGCTCCATATTCTTTCCTGCCTACCCTGCACGATTGCCATGTACAGATCACATTGGACAACATTAGCCAGGGCCTCAGCTGGTCACTAACCAAAGGACTGGTGGAAGAGCTCCATCTTGCAGGCCCCATGGAACTGTACAAGGTCCCGCAGGGCCCTGATGTCTTCTGGGAGCTCGTTCCACCAGTATGCCATACAACTTGGTGTGTGTGCGCTACAACACTTAGATGCTCAGCTTTGGGGTTGGTGTGTAAGACTGCGGCCTATGGTGCTTCAGTGTGGCTTGACAGCCCCCACGTCCACCAGCTGGATGCCTGACTCAACCCAACGAGAGCCACACCTGCGGAGGCATGAAGCCCACTCTCCGACCTGTTGGCTACCCGCGTTGTGCCCCATTGCTCCCCTTCCCACGTCTGGTGAGGTCCAGGTGACCCTTGGTGGTCTCGTTAGGAGTCCGGGAATTATACTGGATCCGGACTCATTGCTGGAGAAGGGAGTCCACTCAGTGGTAGGAAAGGCTTCCTGCCCTCTGTGCCTCACTGAGAGGACAGCCCCCTTCCTTGGCCGGGCTGATCGAGCCATGTGTGTGTGTGGGGGGTCTCTATTGAGGGGACAGGGCTGCAGTCAACAGGGATGGTTCAGCCGGACTCTCTTG